TTTTGCCATAATATCAATTTTTTTATCAAATTTTTTACTATAGTATCAATTTTTTTATTGAATTTTTTGTCACAATATCAATTTTTTTTACCAAATTTTTTGCCACAGTATCAATTTTTTTACTGAATTTTTTACTGCAATATGCAAAAAATTTTTTTGTCACAGTATACAAAATTTTTTTTTACTACAATATTTCCAAATTTTGTATCAAATTTTTTTTTTTGCAGAATGCTGATATTTTTTTGCTAATTTTTTGTTGATATTTTTAATGCTGAGTAACAGCAATCATAAATAATTTATAAAATTTTTTATTAAATTTGGCAATAATTTAGTAGCTGAATGACATAATTCGACTAGTATATAAATTAAAAAAAAAAAACTATTAAGTTAATTGTAAGTAAGTAATTAAAGAATAATATTTAAAATAAATTAGAATAAGATATATATTTAGAAATAAAGATTTTTATAAAATAATAGGTTGTTCAAATAATATATAAGAAAAAAATAAAAATAAAAAATAAATAAGTTTTTTAAATAATCAAAAAAATAAATAAGTTTTTTAAGTAATCAAATTTTTAATAAAAAAAAATTTAAAACTATAGATTTTTGAAAAAAACTAGATTAATTTTAAATATTTTTTCTTTTTTCTTTCAATTTATTTTTTTATATAATTTCTTAAATCCAGTAATTTGATAAAATAATTAATAATAAAAATCTGCTAACAATAATATATGAATTAAAAAGTCTTTATTTAAAATCTATTATAAAGTATCAAATTGTTTTTAAGATCAAACTTATATAAATAACAAGTTAGTTAAATTAGAAAAAAGTTTAACTGTAATATGTATTATACTGCTTGAATGAATATGTATTTTTGTATTTGATTGATTAATAAACTCTCAATCTGGCTTGACTGCGGACTATATAAGTAAAAAAAAAAAAAAAAAAAAAAAAAAAAAAAAAATTAGTTTTTTAAATTAATATTTAATTTTTTTTTTTGATGCACATCTAATTCCCTGTCAACATCCCACTATACACAATATTTTGCGTGAAAAGTATGTAATATACTGCATATATTTTTTTATTTGAATAATAGTATATAATACAAATATGAATGCGTCCATACAAATTTTGTGAAACCTCGCGCCTTTTTTTTTAAAACGCTACATTCATTGGTCCTTTACGTGTTCTCATCGTCACGCACTTCAGTTAGTCCAATTTCTGATTCTCGTCTTTCCTGCATAAAAACCACGTTTTCTTCAGTATCCTGTATCTCGGGTAAGGTATGCAAATCTGTTGCACTTTCAATATTATTAGGCAATATTGAAATCGGAGTTTCCTCTTCAATTGTCACACTTCTCACTTCCAACAATGCAACCGGTTCTGTTTCAGCGTCGTCTTTAGTAGTGATGATGACATCATTTTCGGGAATCATAGATTCATCAACATTCTCTGCGACGGACCCAAATGTGGAATTTTGTTCTATGTCACTCAGCGTCAGAATACGTCTAGTATCTTCTGATTCATATGGTGGCGGTAATTCGCCGGGTGGAAAGAAATAATTAACTATAGTAGACACAACTCCTGGTTGATATGTAACTTCATCTACCGCGGAATATGGCGGTAGCGTACGTATGCTGCTGCTTCTATTCAATGTCCCGTTGCGATTTAATAATGCGGATGCGCTTCTACGCACACGTCCACCCTCACCACTAAGAGGATCAATTGACCTTTCTCGATTTCTTGGTTTACTAACTAATCTTCTGAAGCAAAAACAGCATGATAATGACATTACAATAATTACTATTATCACTGCTAATACCGCTATTTGATTCCCACCATTACCGCTGTTGGCCTCTTTGCCGAGATCATCAGTCAGAAATATGGTTCTTGTCCCATTACTAGTCAAAAATAAACTCGTATCACTATCATTTATGCATGACGCTTTTGGTTTTGCCGTACCATCAGAAAATGAGGTTGCTGGTATATTCCCGCAATTTGCGCTTATACATTGGTTTGATGAATTACAAGTCATCGATGCCTCCAATTTTTTCACACATATATTTCCATAAGGTGAGCAATACAAACTTGGCAATCCGGAATTTTCTAATTTATTACCACTGCAACTGCCAAGATAGTCGAGTGGTTGAACGAAACTACCATTAGGAAGCTTGTTTGAGATGGAAGGTGAAGGTAACCAATTATTATAAAAGTACTGAAGCAACCAATTCTTGTCTGAATTGGACCAATTAGAATAACTAAAAATCTCACACTGATCGTTCTCGGAATAAGCCAGTTCGTTACCAAGATAAGCGATTGGCGGAAACGACTCCGGGCTTAGCGCCCATAGTGAAAGATTCGTGTTAAACGTCGCACATCTTGGACCATTCAAGGATAAAAAACATAATTGACCATTGCTACAATTATAATTGCCACATGAGGCTGCCATATTCTTTGTAATTAAGAGAGATAACGTTATTGAGTTGTAAAAATTATTTTAGATAAAAGCTATTTAGTTAAAACGTACTTATTATCGAAACAATCCTTCGTAGAGTTAAATAGAAACTGAAGTTGTGAGGTTGCTTTGATATTTAATTAGGAAAGAATGTATGTTTTTCAACACACACAGTCTAATACGATTTTAGTTATATGATGATTGCAATGAAGAAGAGAAGAGGCACGAATAGACAAGAAGGCTTAAATTATTATTGCAATATATATAGTATAATTGAAGTCATTGAAGTATTATGCTTAGGAGAGTAATCCTATATATTTCCTAAACAGGCTAACGTACGAATGATTATTTTTCTTTAAATCATGTTCACTGTTTATATGCAAAAAACCTTAGTTCTATACACTCAAAAGTGTAACAGCAAAATTTGTGGATAGCGCCCAAAATAGCTTCTGCGGTACTGTACTATATTGCACGGCATATGTGTACAGCGTAAGCTAAAAAAAAAAAATTTAACATCCCATACTTTTGCTCAAGGCAAAAATTTTTTTTCAGTAAATGAGTATTTACGATAAATAAATTTAGAACGAACGAGGTATTGTATATTTGCGAGAAAAATTACTTGACTTCCAATTAATTTATATGTTTTACTAAAAAAGCTTCAGAAAATTTCTACATGTATACACGAAACACGAAGGATTCGAATAGACTTTCGTTATCGCCTTTATACGAAGCCCATTGCGTTTAAGCGATCTTATGTATTTGGTTGCTCTTTAGAAATTAGGATGGCCGTGCAGTTAGAGAATATCTGCACCCAACAGCTCGAAGAATAACAAGTTATATTTGTATATTCAAACACATCCACACCGGAATGATTAAAAAGTAAATAACCGAACATTTGATTATCAAAATTTTATTTACTGTATATGCTGTAATTATCGTTGTTTATATTAAAATTTTAAATTCTAATTAAACGAATATACAGTTTGGGATAAAACTTTTTGCCCTTTTGTTTTTATTATAATTTATAACCTAATTTAAAAAATATTTGAGTTTTAATAATAATTAATTAATAATTTGATTTAAAGTTAAAAAAAATAACCAAATAAAATTTTTTATAAATTTATATAAAAAAGTAATCGGAGAATAGATTTTTTCTATAGTAAATTTTTTTAAAAATAATTAATTAAAAATCAAAAAAATTTTTTTTTATATATAAAAATTTTTTTAAAGATTCTTAATGATATAATATTTAATATAATTTAAAATAATTCTTTATTACTTAAATTTATGATTTATAATATTTTCTAAATTTTGTTTTTATTAAATAAAGAGTTATAAAATTTATTTTTCAAAAAAGAATATAAGTAATCAGAGAATTTTATATATTAAATATTTTAAGATTCATTATTATGTATTTATTAATTAGCTTTAGTAAAAGCTATATATATTTATACCTTGTAACTCTTTCTACTTGTAGGTTTATCTTTAAGAATCATTTATACTCTTCCCTTCTTACTTACAATTTCTTTTGATTATAAATTTGACTTCTGGTAATCTAAAAATCAAGTAATACCTTTACTACCAATAACAAGAAAGCTCTTAAAAGAAAAAAAATCAACAATGAAGTATCTGAAAGCCTTGTTCAGCTTTGTTGAGGTTAAAAAGATTATGTATAGTAAAAGAAACTTATTTTTTCCCCTCTTTTACTGTTGTTTTCCTCTTAAAGCTATACTTTCATGATCTTTTAAGAAATTTTACCTACTTCAGTTTGCCCTGAATTTTAGATAACATAAACTCTTATAAAAGTTGATTGATTAACATGAAACATGTTAGTTTTTGGAATATAAACAAGCTTCTATTAGCTATTTATATATGTCTTTATAAGACATTATTTCCTAACACATTAATGGAATTAAGAAAGAGAATAATTTTCAAGAAAACTATCTATTATCATTTAGGAAAATAAGAAGAACAAGATGCACAAGAAGTTATAAAATAAAGATAAAGCCTTGAAAGTATATTATCTACTTATATAAACCTGAAATATTAGAAGACTGGAAGATTCTTTAGAATCATTTATATCAATTAAAAATGAAATCACCAACAATAGGTATCACTATTGATACAATGGATCAGCTTCTTTATAATAATAGTACTTTAAAAATAACATTTATCGAGACCAATGAAGGTAGATATCAGAAAAATCAAGATTTCTTTTCTAAATAGATTATCACAATGGGCAAATAAGGACAAATTCACTTGATGCCAAAGATCTCATCTATAGTACTTCCTTCTCACAACTTCTTTCTTCCAAACTCTCTTCAACTTCAATTCTAGATATCCACAAAAATCCCTTTGACTTGTCTGATTACTTGAAAAAATATCAAATAAAGTCCTAACATAAGTAAAATAAAACAAGACATAGAATTGAAATTGGAAAACACAAAAATTATAACATGGAAGTATTGAAAGCAACTGAGGAACAGATATTGTGCTCTTGACTGATGAAGTTCTCAAAGAATATCTAGCCAATGGTACAGAAATAGTAGTAATAGTATGATTTCAAATATTGACTTTATAATAGATTATTATTTTTTCTCTCTTATCAAGTTCTTTTAAAATGTGAGCAAAATCCTTTTTCCTATTAATCCTTGTATAACTATTGTTTTCAATTATTTTTTCTAGTAATAGACAATTTTTCAAGAAGATTGATATATGAATACATATTCTCCATATTAGGTTAAGTTAGATAAATTAGATTTGATATACACATTAACTCCACCTTGAAAATTTTCTATTACTCTAATGGTCCTCTTATTAGGTCTCTATCTGGAGATAACTTAGCCATAAGATAGTTTCTTAACCTATTATTAATTTACTAGCTTATTATTGTTTTTTTCTAGTCAAATGTATCTATATAATAAAACTTTACTAATAAACTTGATTAAGCCAGCTTAAATATATATATATATATATATATAATTTTAATAAAATTAACTATATCAAAAAACTCTTTCTGCTGATCCTCTGACCATATACAAAAAAGATGTTTGCAAGAAGTTTTTATACTTCTTTGCTAATAAAGTCTTAATACTTTCATTAAAACAACTTG